TGAGTCATTTCCGTATGTTGAACTCCATTCTCCTCCTCCTCTTTTTGATCTGTCCCCTGACAGTGGACGTTTTTATCATGATATACTCTGGAATGGCCCTCTCAGGTCTGGTACACAGGGTAATCGTCACAACGGGTTTAAAAAAAAGAAAAAAGAAAGTGATACATTTCTGTAGACTGCCTGGGGTTGTTTGCTCTGTATGGTTATGGCGCTAATGGCCACGCCGGACGCCTCTCCAGACAACCTGTGAACTTAAACGTGTCTTCTTCGGGGAGGGAGCGGCCTGTATTTACGGTCCGGTTTCCCACTCCCGCTCTAATATATTATATTTCCTGCAGGGGCTAATATGAGTGCCCGAGCCACTAAATCTTACGACACTTTAGACCCCTGAACAGGAACAGTAAACGCGGCCGACTGGAGGGAGGACAGAGACACCGGCTGATCAATAGAAACAGCATTTGCCTCCATTGCTTTTTTCTCCTCTCAGCAGAATCTCGATTCTTATAAAGAATCTGCTCCCCCCAATTAGAGCGGAGTTGCTGATGGTGTCTTGGGTGAACATGGGATTCAATTTAAAAAAAGGCTTGAGGGGGGAGGGGCTAATGGGTAGAGGTGGTAATGGAATTAAAATAGTAAGAAACGCAGCTAATGGACGAGATACATAAGAATGGAAAAGAAGAAGATTCTGACCATATTAGAAAATGTAAAACAGTCGTAGTAAAAAGTACCTCTGCCCTCGTTCCGCTGAAGGGTTTCACATATCAGAACAAGCTGGTTTTACGTCAAGTTAACAGCCATACCTTCTAACTTAACTTAAAGGAAATATAAGCTGTCAAGTATCTCTTGTAGTTGTTCATTTCAGGTCGTATTTGACTGTGACTGTGACAAAACCACTGAAAACAGATCAAATAAAGAAGCTCAGGGGGAGTTCACTTACACTTTTGGCTGTCTTTAAAGCAGCAACACTACTTCTGCCCCTAAAAGAGAAAACAATGACTCATTATATAAGCACACATACACATACCATACAGTTTGTACTCCCAGATAAATTTGAATGGACAACAAAAAAAAAAAATCCTGTTGCAAGGACAAACTCTTCCATGCATTCTGGCTCAGTAAAGCAGTTAATGAGATCAGGGGAAGGTCGTCGGAAATCCTCAACCTGGACATTTCTCCCCGCCGTCCAATCTTTGTGCAAGCCTCTCAAGCACATCTCCAAAAAAATACAAATCATTTGCATATAAAGACTGATTTAACAAACTGAATAGGCAGAAACAAAAGTACCAATAAAGCACCGACTTATTCTGGTTGCAGACCTCAGAAGGCTGGCAAAGCTCCCAGGGACTCCCGCTCTGAAACACGAAGCCTGTAGATGATCAGGAGCCAATTTCTCAATTCACTGCTTCACTTGCTCAGATCTTCCAAAATGGCAAATTGAAAACAAAGAAATGACCCACAGTATTCAAGACCAACACAGCCGGTTATGATGAATTCCTCAAACTCTTTGTGATTAGAATTCTTCTAAATATGTTTTTTAAATGATTTTTTCTTCTCCTCATAAAAAAGTGCTATGTATTATTGATTTAGTGCTCTTTTTAGTCGGTATTTTTATCTCTATGAGTAGCGATAGATTAAAAAAACGTCTTTTTTTTCTCAGATTATTAAATAACAGATTTGTTTCATTCCTACAATCTTAACGATAATGTGAACATCCTTTATCAAATTTGCGTGTTGTCCCGTTAGGAAGGGACAGAGGGTGCATGAGGGGGTGCTTCACAGCCGGGGCCGTCGTTATCAGCCTCTGTGCATGCAGAGCCACAAACTTCTCCATGTTTGTGCTGTAATGTCGGCCCCGGGAGCTCCGGCACGTTCACCCCGGGCCAAAAAATGACCCTCCATAAATTAGAGCGTGGTGCACTGTCTGTCCACCCTGGATAATTTCCCCTGCCGTTTCAGCCCTCCTCACTGACCACGCGTCCCCGTCTCCTTTCCGGTTCCTCGTGTAAAAAACCAAAGTGATTTTCATTCAGCAAGTCCAAAGTTTAATATCACTGTTTGATCTCAGGGCTCTGGACCAATATATTGAAATGAGATAAGGATATATTGACCGCTACCTTTCATGGGATTACAGCTTCTTGAAATTAGATCTCGAACACCGTTGAGGTTGCAATAACAATGGCCAGCTTTATGAAAAGATTAAAAGAGATAACCTTTGAAAGAGACATGTTATTCTAATGTCTGGCAATAAACCCAAAGGAGAGAGTCAGAGATCTATCGCCGTCCGAGCCTGAAGTCACCAAGACTGCCCCCCCTCAGCTCACAGATGGCGGACATCTCCCTCTGACTGGACTCTCACACAGGCGTGCTCCCTCATTAATTAAGCTACGTTTCAAATTTCTGATGCGATGAACTTCATTTCACTACTCAGCATAAATCTGGATGGAGATCATCACACGGACACCTTACTTCAGCTCACTGACCACACATATAAAACCACATATACAGCCAGATACTGACCTGGACGACACATACTGAATGAGAATAAAACAGTGCTGTTAGGGATTTTGTGAGTAAATCAAATTCTCCAAGACTTAGGATCAAATCGTTCTCAGGAAAAAATGTTGCAGTTTCATAATCATTTGTTGAATGATCGCTTTTTTCCCTTACTGCATCCCTTACGGACACTATTAAAGTTTAAGTTTGAATTTAGAAGAGAAGAAGAGAAAAAAAAAGAGGAAAAAAGAAAAAAGAGAAGAAAGAAGGAGAAAGAAAAGGAAAAAATAAGAAAATAAATAAATTTTAAAAAAGAAGAAAAAAAATTTGAAAAGGGGAAAAAAGGGGGGAAAAAAAGGATCAAATCATTTCTAACATAAAACCAAATTTGGCAATTTGAAAATGAGCCCTGATGCATGTTTCATTGGTAAAAAGCACATTGGTGAAAAACTGTTTTGTGGATGTGGCTTTTCTCAAATGGTTTTGATTCATTTAATTAACTTAAATTAATTACAATGGCTCCATTCAAAACTAATGTCCTCTATTCATTTTTTCTCTTCCTTAGACCCCCTACTGACCTCTACACTGGTCAGAGGGTCGCACACAGCTGGGACACATGTGCACGTGGACGTGGAGCCCGAGAGCTGGCGCCTGTCCATCGCCCCCATGATTCTGGGTCAGAACCGCCACCAGCACAGTGACCCTCAGCTGAGGTCTTTGGGAAAGGGCAGGAATGGCTGAGCTGCTGGGCTCTGGACCCGGTCAGAACCACGCCGCGTCATAAAACCACTGAGGCGTGACGACTCCTTTCTTTGGTTCGAGCACAGCCGTCTGGGAGCGTGTTTCTCCAGGAATTTGAAACGATCAGAGAGAAAAAAAACGATGCAGTGGGCGGAAGGCGCATTAATAAGGCTGTGCGGCAAATCTATTAGAATAGATAATTAGATGGAAGAGGGATTGGAGAAAAAGTACAATGGCGGTTAAATCACCCTAAAGGAGACAGGGTGTCAGGGGAGCTCAAGGACAGCATAGTTAATGGGGCATCAGACAGATGACAGAGAGGAGAGGAAATGGGGCGGATGTTGAAGGAAAGGACGGCTGACAGGCGAGAGGCACTTTATGTTCGTTTAGGATTTTAAAAAGAATGGCAACTGTGACCGCAAACAAAACCGCCGGACGCCACCTGCGAATCTCCGCGTGAAAGTTTCTAAACTCTGCCTGAGTGACCCCGGCCCCCGGACGCGTCTTTGTGTTGGGAAGCTGCTCTTTTGGCCGTCCGGACTGGAGGCCGCGAGAGGATGTCAGCGCTCAGGCTGTCGAGGTGCTGAACGGATGTGACAGTCCCGTCCCAGTTCCCTGACCTCGCGGGGCTTTTTCGGCCTGCGTAAGGGGGGAGAAATTACGCATGCGTGGGAGAGACGAGAAGCCGCCGGTCTATAAAGCACCACGTTTGAGGTCTGACACGCTCAGGGTCAAACTTCTAGTCCGTTTTTTCAGTCCAACGCAGGGCTAAAAATCCTGTTTTTCCTGTTTGAACAGAATGTGTTGAATATTTCCCCCCCTTTAGGTACTCATGCCTCTGGATGATTGAGGTGGAGTCTGAAATGACAGGAATAAGAATCGATACCCCGACTGACGACACCTGAACCCAGCAGACCGTGCTGTAGTGGTTAGTGCTTTTGGTTTAAAGAAGTCTTTATGCACAGCAGTTCCTTGGAAAAGTAATCAGAAAGAGAAACTCCTTTGGTTACTAACTCAAACGTCCATAATTGAGGTTTGCAAAGCAACTTCTATAGAAGCCAGCTGCATCCTGGGAAATGAGGTCTGAGGACTAATTGAGTTTCTAGGCCAAGATTGCACCATTCAAACGACAGAATGGACAGAAGATGAGGATCGAAAAAAGCATTGCAAGGTTTCAAATAAATTCTAAAGAAAGTCGCCAGTGACTTTGTCTTTCAGAAAACAGATCAAGTTACTCGTACTGTTACTCGTAAACACAGTTTGATAAGAGTTAAAGCGTGTGCTATAAAGAGGCCGTCCGGTGGTCCAGGCACAGTTTCTAAGATTTCTTGAGATTTCCCGGGTGGCTCGGCCCAAACGGGTAATTCGAAAAAGCCGAGCGAGAGCGTGGGGCTTTCAGCGGAGCGTCCTGAGCGATAAGCGCTTCGGCGGGGAGCTGCAGCCTCAGCACAGCCGAGCACGAGTCCGAATTCATCATCCGGGACAGCGCTGGCAAAGCAAGAGCCGCCGGGCTGCTTGGGCCACGCCCCCCCCTCCCATTCGCACCCAAGGCCGCGGTGATCCATCCTGCTGTCAGGGGAGACCCACGGATCCCAAACGGATGCAGCTCAGCATCCTGGTCTGCGCTTTTTTTCAGCTGTCAGACTACAGCTCTGGACAAAGGGGTCTGGAAAGGGGGACGGTCAGCCCCCACTTGGCCATTACCAATCCACTCCTCCGTGACCATTAAGCAAACAAGGAGACAATAAGTGAGCTGGGATGCCGAATGCCATTCACACATTTTAATCAAGACAGTGACGACTGTTACAACGCAAAAAAGAGCCAGACAACAGAAAAGAGAAAGCGCGTCTTCCCGACTCCCCACACGCTGACCTCATGTAAACTCTGATGGAGGAGCCCAGGTGAAAACAACAAATGCGCGTTTGCCAGGTGTGAGGAAGCTGTTGACGTGGAAGGTGAGCAGCACCGTCCCAGCGCGCCTTCCAGGGACCACAGAGGGTTCCCTTTGGTGTTCGGCCTACTCGGCCTTTGTTGTTTGACGTTTGGCGAAGCGGATTTTGGGCTCCTCGTGCGGCAGGCCTAACACGTGACCTGTGACTTTCAGCATGGAAGGGAGGAGCCGAGGGCAGCTGCACGTCGGCACGAATTATTGATGCTGACGAGACCTACGGCTGACAGCTGAGGAGAGGTGAAGTCCGTCATGACTCCACTTAGAGATTGGCAATAGCTGATCGGCCATCTGATGGCTTTTTTGGGCTTTTTTTGTTGTTGTTTCACAGTCCTATTCTGCACCGAGGAAAATCTCACTCAAAGCAAATGAGTTCTGCTCTGGAAATGTAAGTCTAAAAATCATTCAGGGGGTGGCATTTTCCTCCCCAAAGGAAATACCGCAGCCGGCACCGAAATCCCACTCAAGGATTTAATTAAAAAGGATAATTAGCATCTGTCCTAGAGGGAATCAAATGACTTCCTCCCAAATTGGGAGGTGTAGGGGGTGGGTGGGGGGAGGCTAAAAAAAGTTTACCAGAATCATATTTTAAAAATATCCGCTCGTGTGGAAACAGGGTTGGACTTTATTTTTCATAATAAATATAGTCTCTCTCGTGATTAACAATTACATCGGGTGATTATCGTACAGACAAAGTCGGTAATCCTTGACGGCAAGGATGAGAGAGCACCGACTGGCACTGACACCGTGGGCTGACAACACCTCTCAGAGGAAGAGAAAGACTATGATGGATTCACTCCGCGCTCTGCGGGGGCAGTTTTGGAAAAGCTGGTGAAGACGGCCTGCTGTACGCCGCTCCCCGACTTTCCATCCGCTCTTTACTCGCAGTCATGCTGAAAAAAACTAGTTAAACGAATCAATTCAGCCTTTAAAAGTGTGGAAAGGGCAGCCGCGGGGGACAAAGAAGAGTGCTTTGGACGAACGTCGTTGGTGGTCTGCTGCCCCCTAGTGTCAACCGGAGGAATGGTCACAATTAACGAGGGTTCAAAAAAAAAAAAAAAAAAAAAAAAAAAGGAGGAGGCTGAAATCAGAGTGGAGGAAAACAGTGAGGCACCTAAAGTGTTGATGGACCCCACCGGACAGTGTCGGTGCGGTGAAGCGAGCCCCTGACCCCCACGTGCTGATCTCGACATGTCTTCCTCTTCATCGGGGGGTCGCGGTTAGGTAGTGAGTTCTCTCCTGGGGGTGGGGGGGCGGCCTGTTCCAGAGAGTCTCAGAGGATCTGCTCCGTGCTGGAAGCGGAAATGTCAAGTAGTCTCCAGGCTGCGTACGGGTTGAGCTCCTCCTGGTCCCGGCACAGAGCCCACACGTACATCATCCTGATCACTTTGTCCTGCGGGGGGGGGAAATGACAGGCACGTTTCACCGACTACCCAAATGAAGCTGTGAGCACACCTCAGATATTCAGTCAACTCAAATGTTTCGCCTGTGAGCGAGACTGAACCAACGTTCTATAAATGACACAAAGCTCCAGCAGGCGTTTTGTGTGTGGACTTCTCATAAATGATTCATTAGCGGGACTTAATGAGACCAGGGAGCCACGTTTCTGTGTTGGGGGGGGCTTTTATCTGGCCCGAAACAAGACCCAGAAATCTTTATGAGCTGTTAATCTAAGGTGTCGTTCCCTCGGGGCGCTCGGGGACAGCTGGGACTGACCAAAAGGTCGAGCTGTCCACCGGGCAGCTGGCGCCCGCCCAGCGCAGAGTGTAAGACTACTGCCAGAGGCCTGAAGACGGACGTGCTGTTCTGTTGGTTTTTATTAAGGTCTGGATGGTAAATGACACTCTCTGCTCCTGACGGAATAACAGTCTGCTGCTTTTACCCCCCCACCTCCTTTTCAAACACGGTGGAAGCCCAGAGTCAGGCTCTGTGTGCTGATCACTAAGACACCAAACATATTTTCCCACAGCTCGGGCTCTGAGAGGCTCTCTGCCTGGGCTGAACGACACATCTGAATAATGAATAGTGAATAAATGCTCTCGCTTACCGGGTCTCCCTCCACCACTTCTCCTTTGGCGTTCCTGATCACCAACACCAACTGTGCCTGGAAGGTTATGATCAACACCGGACCCTGCTCCATTATTTTGCCCATCGCCAGCTGGAAAAGGAGGCAAGCAAACGGACCATCAAATCAACAGACAAATATTTAGGTTGCTTATAATGGCTAAAATAAAACAGAAAAAGGTGAAACAAAGGCTGAAAAGCACGTTTAGCTTTTAGAATTTAGAAAAGGATTCTCATCAATTACAGTGTTTTGATCATATTATTATACTTTTAACATATTTTGGATCTTGTCGGGATGCTTTTAAGAAACTGGACGACGTTCTGACTGAATGCTGCTCTGGAAGTCCGCTTTGAAATGACTCACATCGATATTGTCTATGTCCAGAATCCTGGAGTGGAAGTGAAGTCCCATGGTTTTGGCTTGTTGAATGGGATGTGCCAGCTGGCTGTATGTCTGCAAACCCAGAGAGGGACAAAGAAGATCAAACCGTTTACACGCGCTTAAAGGAAAACTACACACTGTGGGGCGCTAGGCGGTTAGCATCTGAGGGCCGTACCGCTTCATAGCACCAGTCCTTCAGCACCTCCAGCTCGCCTCTGATCATCGCCTGTGTCAAACAAACACACAAAACACACAAACAAAAAAGGACACACACAGGCTCTGATAAGTTACAGACCGACAGCTTCGATCTGTTTCAATTTTGATTTACAGAACAAAATGACACAACAGAAAAGGCCTGGCAGTGAGCTGGTTTGCCGTTCAGCGTACCTCCAGCACATTAGGGATGATATCACGTTCACATTGCTTGAGAAAGGAGTCTTTGTCGAAAGAGGGGTCCGCCTTCAGGATCTCTGTTAGCACCTCCGACATCTCCGTCTTTGAAAACAGCCCACCTGAAACACCGGTGCAAAACAAGGTTTAAGTTAAAACAAAAACTTGAAGGTGTGGAGAGTCTGAACCCTGGACAGCGGCCCAAATGGGGACATGTGACTTTTGTGTCCTCAGTTTTTTCTCACCTATGACGTCAGTCATCTTGTCAGTGACAGCGCGGGACGCTCTGATGAAGGCGTTGTCACTCTCATCGTACTTCATTTTCATTTCAAAGAACCCTAAAACCCACACAAATGAGACAAAATGAGGGAACCGATTAGGCTGAACCGTTCATCTTTTCAAGAAACAAGGCAATCATTTAACCTTTTACAACTAACTGGATAAATATACTTAGGTTACTAATGATCTTTAAAAATCAAGCCTACAAATATACACAAAGTGAAGAGCGGCAGAATTGATCTCTCAGCTCTGGAAGGGTTCGATCGGTGGCTCCAACAGGTCCTCATGAATGAACATGAACTTGTATCTCGACAAAAAGACGCACAACATTTACTTGCCAAGACTGAGAAGGAGCATTTTAGCTGGCAGAGTGAAATTCAAAGCTCAGAGCGGTATGAAAACAAAACTCTGGACTACGGGGAACTGTCACAGCAACATTTTATGTTCCTTTTGAGCCATTAGCCAAAGAGTGAGCTTCCCTCTAAATGAAAGCTTGTGCATTTGTCGCACTAAGAACCTCAGTACTGAGGAAAAATGCTGATTACGGCTAAACTAGGGAAATCTGCATAGCTCCAAATCTGTTGACTCTGTGCAACGTCCTGAATACAACCCGGGTCATTTTTCACCTGTCTAAACGTTATTAATCATCAACATTACTTCCTTAACTAATGTGCATAATAAGGAGTAAATCGTCCGTCTGATGTAAATGCATTCAGCCTCGTTTTACACCCCCCCATCTGCACCCCTTATTAACTGCCTCCTTCTGCTACTGCTCCCCGTCAGAGCCTCCTACACTTAAGGATAAGTAAAAAGTTCACAGGCTCAACCCCGGAAATATCAATTACACCAAGTTTTTATTACTTGTTAAACTTTGAGGCAGATTGATTGATTTCTCCCCTGGCAACAGCCGCGTGAGCAGGAAGGAGAGCTCCCATTCCTGTCAATGATTATAGCATCACCTGTTCATCTGTACGTTCACACAATTAGCTGATCAGCCAATCACATGCCTGCAGCTCACTGCATTTAGGCGCAGTGGCATACAACATCTCTAGGGCTTAAGGTCTGAAAATGAGAAAATAGGCCCCCACCATCTCTGTGAAGTGAAAACATTAAGAGATGGCCTGCCTGGCTGGTTTTAAGAGCTCCTTGGACTACAACAGCCAAACCAAATGAAACCGGTTGCCACAAAACTAACAGAAAATTCTTCACCAAAATTAGAAAAAAAGAAAGATACGAAAATGTGTTAGTTTCCTTACTGTTAAATACAACGTTGTTGTCTTTGAAGTCTTTCCATTGCTGGTACCATTTTGAGTCCTTGTGGAGCACCACGCCCATAGCCTCCCTACAGCAAACACAAAGAGAAGGGTCAACTATTTCATTCAGCCGGAACATCAACACCTCGCATGTTTGATAAAAAAAATAGATGACGATTAAATTATCTAAACTCGAGGGGCTTTACACCTCTCAATATCGGGCCGAGCAGATGGGCACACACATACTCATTGGCTTCGAACACTTTGCTGTCATCTCCTGCCCCCTTGGAGGAGAACTCACTCCTCTTTCGGAGTCTGGGTGGAGGCCGATAAGGGCCCGTGTCGCCAAGGTCTCCAATCTCCTTCTTCACACTCTCCATACCCTAAATAGAGATTACAATTTTCAGATTAAAAAGAAACCCTAATTTCAAAATTCGTTCTCCCTTCTGTTACAACCATTTACTTTTCTACACAAATCAATTTAGATGGGATAGAAAAGATAAGATTAAAATCCACTCTGGCTGACGTGTGACTGCATACCTGAGATATTGCTTTGAATGCACCAGTCTTTCCAAACATCTCTCCACTCTTAGAGACAGACTCTGCAGAGGTCTTTGCTGTTTTGGCGGCTTCCTCCATTCCCTCTTTGATTTTCTTTCCAATTTCTGTACGACTGACCTCCTCCAGTCCCTGTCCACGCACACAGAAAAGCATCACAGGTTAACGGGGGCTCCATCAAGCTGGACACCGCATCAGTGTTAAGATCGTTACAAGTGGAGTCCCATTCACCTCTTTGACCGTTTCAGAAATGCTTCCGAACTTCTTCTTGAACACTTCGGAGGTCTTCACGGTTTCGGATTCGATACTTTGCTGGAAAAAGACACGGGAGGGTACGGCGGTCAAACAAAGTCAGCTCCATTGGAGATCTAGCATGATTTTCACTCTAAAGTACTAACATATTTTCTTCGAGCCTGTTTCAGTGCATCCGACTCTTCCAGTTTTTTTGCCTCTTCCCGGAACTTTTTTATGTTTTCTTTCATTTCCTTGTTCTTGTTCAGCTCCTGCTTAATGTTGTCTAAGAGCTCTCCGAGGAAACCTTTTCTGCCGCTGCCTCTCTCCCCGGACAAGTGCCTCGCCTGCAGAAGGGCAGGCTGGCGTACCTTAGAACAAGCAAACACACCAGGAAAAAGTCATGCCTTGCCATCATATGACAGCCATTCCAAGATAAGATAATAAGAAGAAATATAATAAGGGGAAGTTCTATTAAACATAAACTCAGTTTGAGCTTTTGACATGCTGCCATTTGAAATTATACCGGAAATTATACTTATATTGGATCATCTAAACCATAGCATTCGTCTCAGTTTTTGTGAAAAACTAAACCGACTAAAAGTTTGTTTCCATGTTGAAACCGTACAATTAATAAATGCAGGTTTAGAACTCTAATATCAATATTACTATGTACAAAGGTGCACATTTTAACTTTAATAAAGTGGACATTGCTCTTCTATTGGCAAAGTCCCTTATTTTGTTGTTAGGGTTTGAAAGGCAGACATTATTGTGACTTTAAGGCCTTTCAAAGACTCCAGAAACAAACGTTTGTCCTTTTACTACCTGCGTGGGGTTTGCGAGGAACCCTCGTATCCTGTAAACATTTGCTCTGTTTGGAAGCAGCAGGTAAGAGGAAGGAGATGTCAGCAAGCCTCTTCGTATGCATATCTGAAAACAGACATTTAAAGTCAGAGCTATGGGTGACAGTGGTGGACAACACGAAGGACTTTTCCACATAGCACCGTCTAGGAAATGTAAAATTTAAAGTGAAAAACACGCTTAAATGACGATACGCTTCTAAAAAATACAGCAGCTCAGGGGAAGGTCGAAGCGTCTGAACGTATTCAATCAAAAATGTTTTAAAATTACAATACAAGTCATCCAAAACTTTTAAAAATGGTTATGAAAACAGCCAGTCCAATGCAGTGCGCTAACTGGGCTAGCTTAAGTTGTATTTAACAGACCTGTTTTACTCATTTTAGCATTAACCGGACCGGGATGAAATATGTTCTTAGCATATAAAGAATGCTTGACTCTTTTTCAGCACCATGCGAAGGTTTAGACGTTAAAAGGCAGCACACTATCACAAGCACAAACCTGGTAACACTGACATATGGGGGCCGCCATCTTGACTTCGTGCTCATGACCTTTTTCCGGCGACCTTCTACGTATTTGAGGAAGAGGAGGGTCTACAGAGAGGCCTGCACGGACTTCATCCATTACGACAAACCTTTGGCCTTTATTAATGCATCATAATGTACTAGTATTTATCATACGCCGGCATTTACTAAATGCTCATCTTATAACATAATTAACGAGGCAAAGATGATAAAGTAGAGCTGCAAACTGCTCAGCCCATGAGGTGCAGCCTTATCGAAATACACAAAACAGCCAAAGAATTTTTCAAAGTTGAGATTTATTTATCAAAACACCATACAGAACATAAGATAGTGACAGGTGGAGCATGACAGAACAGAGAAATTAAAAGTTTGGTCTCTAAAAAGTAAAATAAGCAAAACTAAAACATATCAAAGGCTACAAATGATGTACTAAAACAACATTTCATCATTAAACCAACTACCAAACAGATCTGCTAAAGGGCAAGTCGAAAACGCAGTGTTTTTTTTAACACTACAGACTAAATCAAATGTCAAATGCGTCATAGATGTATAACTCATGCGTTCCTATCGATCCTAACATCAATCTCTCTTCCGCTCAGCCGATATCCGTTCATGGTTCTGCAGGCGCGCTCGGCGGTTTCAGGGTTGTCAAAGCGGACCACCCCGCAGCCCTTGGACTTGCCATTCTCCATCTTGATATCAGCATACTGGACCATACCTGAAAAGGAGAAAACAGTGTCATTGGGTATGTCAGAACTAAAAGAAAAAAAAATCATTCATCTGATCTAATATCTTCTTCTGAGGTACCCCAGAGCTTGTTAAAAAAAATTTTTAAAACGATGTTACTGAACATGAACCCAAAGGTTACTTTGCTACATACAGAATGGACCTCTGCAAGCCCAGTTTAAAATCGGATTAAACTAATTCTTGAGTTAAATTCTCTTACCACATGTATTGAAGGTGTCCTTCAACATCTTCCAGGTGAAGTCAAATGGCAACTGAAAAACAAAATCCATTCCACTTAACTCACTACTCTCTTTTGAGGATATCCTTTCGTATTCAACTGTGCATGCACTTACATTTCTGACAAAGATCTGGCATCCTTTTCTGATGTTGCTTCCTCCGGTTCCGGGCCCTCCAGCTCCCGCTCCTCCAAAGGAATTCCCACCAAATCCACGATCCAAATCACCAGATCGATCAAACTGACCTCCCACCCCTCCGGTGCCCATGCGATCCATGCCGGAGCTCATGCGGTCGAGGCCACCAGAGGGAAAGCGGTCGATTCCTCCGGCAGAACCCATGCGGTCGAAGCTGCTTCCCATTCTGTCGAGCCCGGTGTTTCCCATGCGATCCATGCCCATTGGAGACCCGAAGTCCATGCTGGTACCCATGCGATCCAAACTTGATGGGCCCAAGCGGTCGAACCCGGTCGGTCCCAGACGGTCCATGCTGGAGGTCATCCGGTCAAGGCCTGGTCCAAGCCTGTCCATATTGGGCCCCATCCGGTCCATCCCTGTGCCCATCCGGTCGAACCCAGAGCCCATCCTGTCCAGGTCAGACACCCGATCCATTCTGTCCATACCCATGCGGTCCATCCCTCCCATGCGATCCATGTTGGTTCCCAAGCGCTCCATTCCGGTGCTCATGCGGTCCATACCCAGAGAGTTTCCTGCAGGAACAACAATAACACAAAAAAAAAAAAACACACACACACACACAAAGGAAAGACGATATGATTAATTGAGCCAAAACCAGATTTACGGGGTTTGCAAGCAAATCCTGAAAGTACTGACCCATTCCTCTTTCAAAGGAGTCTCCAAAATTATTGCGAGACATTCCCATTTCATTTCGGCCAAATTCCCTGTCAAAACCTCCACCAATCCCACGGTCCATCTCTGACAATGCAAGAGAAGAAACCATTAGAAACATCCAGCAAAGCAATAAAAGACTTTCGGGTTTGCTTTGGACTGTTTGCACACCCCGACACCCACTTACCATTCATCCTGCCCATCCCTGAGGAACCGAACCGATCCATGTTGTTCCCTCCTCCGAAGTTGTCCATTCCTAAAAAGCAAAAAGGAAAAAACAAAAAAGAAAGAAAAAAGCTCAACACCAGATTTCAGGTTTGAATGAAATGGTAATAAAACCATTTATATCGGTCTTTCTAGGAGTGAAAGTTCCATTAATTTGCAAATTTACCTCCCCCTCCTCCCATGCGACCTCCCATGTTGCCAAATCCCATCCCATCCATTCCTACAATTGAGGAAAATTTCAATAAGAACCTAGTTCCACTGCCATTTGTAATGGTTGGTTAAAAAAACAAAACAAACAAAGGAAAAAAAGTAATTTATTTTGTTACCTCCTGGACCCATGTTGCCCATCCCTCCACCACCTCCACCTCTGTTGAGCTGGGTAGCATCAATAGGCTGACCGCCAGGTCCCAGACCTAAGCCCACCCCACTCAGGCCACCTATGTAAAAAAAAAAAAAAAAGGATATGATTTGTCTACATTATGTAAATCAGATTCAATATTGAAATGCTCTGATATGCCACTGTGGCTCTCAAGTACTATTCCAAGAGTAAAAACAACCCATAACATGGGTATAGTTTGTATTACCGTTGCCTCTGGATAAAATTTCTAAAGCAACTTTAAGTTACCTTGCAAATTGCAATTCAAACCATTTCTTAAACTGTTTTTCAAAACCAAAAGTAAGCTTCGTGTAAACCTAGTGTGTACATACGGGGAAGAGCTGCTCCTCTGTCTGGTGGTCCAAAGTCTTTAGGAAGAGATTTCTCGTCCTGTAAAAGTGATAAAAAAAACCTCATTGTTAGTCATCATTGAGCCATTATGTGATCTAATAGAAATAAAAAGGCCGAAAATCTTACCAGCTTCACATGCATGGTTCTGTTGAAAAGGAGCTGTCCATTGAACATAGCTGGGAAATCGCTAAGGAAAACACACTTAAGTAACGCAAGCGACGGAATTACAGTGAAAATGATCCTCCGTAAAAGTTAAAAGCCAGATGTTTTGAAAAAGATACAGACAGCTTGAACCGCTTCAATCGGCATGTCGAACGTGACTGTGCCCATGCCTCTGCTTTTTCCATCCTTGTCCTCCAGAATGTCAGCTCTCACCACTATGCCTGCCATACTGAACACTTCCTTCAACTTCTTCCAGCCCACTTTGTAGTCAAGCTGAAGACACAAAATATGAGAAATGGTTACCCAAACCATCCAGATAATGTTATGGTTACCCACGTTCCCACTATTAGAAATCATAGAGGCAAACTAAGAAAGAAAAGAAAAAAAACAATCAATTCTGTTTGGCCTCTTTCTTTGAACAAGTGTGGGAGCCTCACATTAGCCACGAAAACAGTGCTTCCAATCCTGCCGGCCTGGAGACCATGGATGATCTCGTTGGGGATGTTGGGGTTGTTCATAAGGCTGGGGGGAATGCTGACCATGGGGCCGTTTGGTCCGGGACCCATGCGATCCATGCCACCCATTCCTACCATTCCACCCATGCCTCCCATTCCACCATGGCCCACTGGTGGACCTGCACCCTGAGACTTGTTGATTTCCCTCTGAGAAATTACTCCATCTGGGTCCTTTAATGAGACAAAAAGAAAGAAAAGGAATTATTGCACATGCCACTTCACAAATAAAACACTGTTTGTTTGATGGCCAAAACTGTTTTTCCTTTACAAAGTTTACCTCTTTCACTTTCAGAGGTCGGCCATTGAGGGTGTGCTTGTTGACCTTTTCCACGGCCTTCTTCATCAGCTCTTCAGTCCTAAACTCTACAACACTGAAACAAACATTTCCAACGTGAGCAAACTTGTTACAAAATGGTCAAACTGGCTGATTCTGATATAAATGCTTCTGAGAACAAGTACTTACGCACAACCCTTTGTTGATTGCAGCCAGCAGGAAAAGCACCAGAAACAGTGAAAAAAAGAGATTGCATAGATTAGAAGAAGTCATTTATTTTTAGGCGATTTAAAGTGAAATGTATGAAAACAAATGTGCATGCAAAACCATGAAGTGTAACACACACACACAGGCCTACAGCTGTGGCAACAGCTCCATACAAATAATGCATTACCAAATGGATACTTTCCCCAGTCAATAACAATGGTAGCAAATGTGGAGAATATAAATTATTTTCCAACATCCAAATGGCAGAAAATCCACAGGGATAGGTTTCCACACCACTAAGATATTGGACATGTCCAGTAAGCAGGCCTGACATAAGTTATATTAAACAACCATCTAACAGCTTTCTAACAACCTCTTGATGCCTAAAATCCTTAAGATCATAAGGAGCAACTCCAGCAACCAAAAGGGACATTGTCAGCTACTATAATGCACAGGATTGCATACAAGGGAAGCTGAAGGCCTGCTTAAGAGTATCAACCCCTCAGGATAGCCTCAAGTCAGTGCCACAGACGACACCAAATAAAAACACACCTCCAGCATGTCACCACCTCACACACTCCGCCGGGTTTCTGTATCAGAGCAATTCCCAACATTGTAAAAAAGAAAACAAAAACCAAAGCTGACAAACACAGGTTTGTCTAGGCTTATTCATATGTTTTATTTGGATGTATTTGCACTTACCCTTGATTTGCCTTCTGCGTCCATTAAGTGTTCCACGTACGTTACCTCACCCACTACAAATCAGATTCCAGAGACGACACACACCAAGGGGAGAGAAGCCGAGAGAACAATGGGGGTTTAGAGCAGAAACAAGGAGGGCGGCCGGTCACAGTGAGCTCGGACTGCTAGTCCTGAGCCTTCCCCCAGCACCTCAGCAGCACTATATGGTACAGGTCTACAAAAATTCAGCTGAACATTTTAAAAGTAGTTTTTAAAGAAATGATACACTTCTTAGAATGCCCTTGTTGGATTTCTCCCAAAACACCAAAAGCAATAGACTGAGGACACCAACTGTTTCAATATAATGCCGTGAACACCACCTATGACATGAGGATAATTGACCAGGAAATTTCAAGTTAGAGAAACCCGAACAATGCCTCAGCCCATTTCAATGCAAGCATGAGAGCACTTTGTCCAATGTCGCCGTTTTAAAACCTCCAGCTAGTGCCCCAAAAGCCTGCGACCATCAGCGGAGCCTGAGAGGGAACCTACGGCTGGAAAAAGTAACCAGAATCTTGACTACAAATTCGTGGGGAACTGACGCTCCTTTAGCTGCAAACCTAAGCGTAATGAGGCCATATCTGAATTTTTGTTCAGTGTCGGCCACAGCCACGCCTTTGTTCCAGGTCACGGGTCTGTTCAACAAATGGACATTAGTGACTGAACCTCTGGAGACAAGGACAGTTCAAAAGAAGCTGCTGTATTTTGTAGACCTGTACCCCAAAGAAATCCCCAGCATACAGCTGCGTCTGGCACAACATGGAGATCTGCTGAGAAAACATTTGCTTGTCAAGGTCACACCTAAAAAAGAAAATGCAATTTAACTCCACAGTCAGATGACATTAAACGAATTCCTGAACCAACTTCAGTTAAAATAGCGATAACATCCTTCTTAACATATTCTTTAACTTGAAATAAATCTCAATTCATTGCAATACTGATGCATCTGAAGATATCCGATACCCCATAACTATACAACTCGTTACATGTGGGGAAAACTAAGGTAGGGCTTTAATTAAGACATATACCCAACAATTTGACCCGTTTGGGCATCAACTTTTACAAATAATTACATAATTCAACTGATAACAACCTGATCCTTGTTTCAGATCAAAATCATTATACTGAAGCAAAGTGCTGTATCGCTGGATTCATGCATTTCTCATTGTGCCATTCAAGGGCCCCAGCCGGGGGATTTTCCCATTTGTGGACTTGCTTTACACATGTACAACCTCCACTTCACAAAAATCTCAATTGAGACTGGTGCTCAATCTGACATCCAGGTTCACCACACTTGTCCAAGTTTGCGACAACTCCTCAGTTGGCAGAAGAATGAGGGGGACCTTATCCGAAAGCCTTCGTTCCGAATATCTCCCACAAAATATCAAGCACCATTGTAGATACCACTCGGAAAAGGCCTGCAAAGCAGCAGCAGCAGTCAAACCATATGACTCCTGGTGCTGCTCCCGCTTTTGTACCTAGGCCAAAGATAAGTCGATCCCTAATCCAAACACCATACCTTTTTCTTTCATCAGGTCTTTGAGGGCTTGCCATTTCACATCATAGGGGATGTTGCTGACAAAAACCCGGTATCTTTTGTTGACGTTGCCATAGGGTTCATAGCGACCAACTCCACCTCTCTTCTGGGGTCTCTCCTTCCTGCTTAGGTTGAGGTCATTCTTGGGTTTTCCATTAATTTCTCTACAAAAAATAGATTAACACAACGAACAATTATTTTTAATATATATATACACATGCATGGCAATACTTTCCAATGAGATAATTGCTGCTTACAACCTAAAAACAGCTAATGTAAACGTCATAAACTATCCAAAAACGTGTTATTAAAAGAGCACTACAAATATCATGAAGAGCAAAATTTAAATCCTAAAACCAATCGAGCCTACTCTGTTAGGACCAAAACAAGCGCGACTACAGACTAGTTCAAAATGTGATTGTTATGGAGGGTCTTTTAATCCAATTGGGGCACAAATTGCATTCTTTTTTCTTAACGAACACCAAAAAACAACAACATTCGGTTTTTCCATATCCAGTGTATAGTATATCGACAGGGGTAATGGTTGGAAAATGCTAATCTTTGTGGAGGCCTTGCAAAAGGAAGCCTGGCTTCGGCCATGTGGCAAGGCCGACGGAGAAGGCCTTTCATTCACGTTAAGATCTGTTCAAATAGCTTGCAAAAAGTGGCACAGTACACAAACGGTGGGTGATAATCGTTGGCAATTTCCCACGAAAACAGCATCGTCGATTAGCGCCGTTCACCGCAAGCGCTGAGTTACATATCGGGCTAGGCCGTTGCCAGGAAATAGACGGGGCCCTTGCACAACCCACGTAACAGGCGATCTCTGTATAAACCGGCTTTAAGCTATACACGTTCGGAAGAAAATGGCCGCATAAAGTATATCCAGAGAGGCAATTCATAGATAAAAAAAACAAGCTGCGGAGCAACTTAGCCATTCGTAGGAATTTCTCTAAATTAAGTAGGTCGTTATAACAAAAGAACCTCCATGGAGGAACTCACCCCTGCTGCGGCGGGGACTGCTGCTGCTGCTGCTCCGCAGGCGGCGGCTGGCTCACGTCTTCGGTGGGAATTTCAGTCTGCTCGGTGGACATTTTGTCACGCTAATGAATGTTGAGTCAAACTAAACTGTTTTGGAGCGACTGAGGATAGTCGATGTAACCGAATTCTGCGACTGAGACAGAAGGAGCCGTTGCTAGACCTTCTGAAAATGGCGGACTACGTAGTCTGGGACCACTTAAAAAAAACTCCTCGGGAACTATTTCCGGTTTGTTTTGAATCTGGGTGACATCCGGGAGGAGGAGATAAAATGAAGAAAGCACGATCAAATTTTTGAAAATTATATGGAAAAAGACAAAAAAAGCGTCAAAGAAATATTTTGATATATTTGTGGCCGTATCTCATTGGGGCTGGTACTAAAACTATTACGCACACTCTTGTATTTTAGAGGGAACTAGATTTTTTAAATCAAGATCTTTCTTCTGTAATTTAAAATAAGTACAATTATCAAGGTAAATAAAGAAAATGTTAATTGATTTAAAACTTATTAAGGTTACTTAAAATCAGTTGCTAAAGTTGCTAAAAATCATATCAAAAAGTCTCTCATTGGTTATTTTTCCTTGCAAAATGTAACAACTTAAAGTAATACAACAAAAAAATAAACTAATCTCTGTTTGTTTAGGCATAATCTTGGAGTTATACATGCACATTCATCAAATTACCATATTTTGTAGTTTTATTCCATATCTTTTTTGGGTTCAATTTCCATTCAGATAGGCGCGGAGTGATTTAATGATTGTATTTGTTGAATGAGGACGTTAGTGTCTGTAATTATCCTCCACGCCTCCAGGCGGCGGCTCTCAATTCTTGCTGAGGACAGCCTCAACGTAAAGGGGTTTATGGCGGAAGTACTGGACGTTTAGCTAACTAGCTCGGCTATCTCATCCAAACAATAGCTGCAAATGCCCACCGGTACTGCGTTTATAGCTAAAAGTCGTTATAATAATTTCAGCAAGATATTTACAGCATAGAAAACGTCCAGCATCGCTACCTGGTTGTGGTGAATTTAAGTCAAGTATAAGTATATTTACCAGATATGTGATAGCGTTAGCCATTAGCTGGGATCACCATCGTTAAACAGCAACGTGCACGAAATGAATGAGCGCGCGTGACGGAAAACCCTTCATTGACATTTGACAGTTTGACATTAAACAGCATATAAGGATGTCGACGGGGGCTGATGTTCGAGATATTCTTGAGCTGGGTGGAGGGGAAAATGACGGTCCTATTAGCAAGAAAGACCTCATCAACTCGGATAAGGTAAGATTAAACAGGTAAACACATCCACATGTGAGGCGCTAGTCGTAACACAAACACGAAATTTAGATCTTGCCTTATACAAAAGACATCTTAAACTTAAAGAACGTAAATGCTCTTATTTAAGACATGCTCAGGGGAGAAAAACTGGTGTTTCTGTTATGTGCAATCATGTCTTTCACTAAACAACAACACGTTTCTCCATAACTTTCACTTAGAAAAAGACAAAGAAGGCAACGGAGACGCTGACTTTCAAGAGACCAGAGGGAATGCACAGAGAAGTCTATGCCCTGCTCTACTCTGACAAGAAGTACTGTTTTATCCTCCAGCCTTTCATTTATATTAGACAGTTTGTTTTTGTTTCTATTGATGCATATTCAAGTTTCTACCACTTTTAAACTTGCTGTTTGCTATTGCTTTCTCTGATGCTTTAGTGAAACGCATTGCATTGTTTACACTGATTAGCATAACTTGATTTATAGTGAGACTACCTCAACACCCCCATTTTCTGGTCTTAATTCCTCTTTTCCAACTTAATTGACAGAAGCTATTAGAACAGAAGTTTTATCTGATATTTCCACACTTTACGTCGATCATTACGCTGATTTTAACTACACAAAACGATGTGGACAAAATGAGGCAGCATTGCTGTGATAAAATGTAGCGTTTGCTCTTCATCTGTAGAGACGCACCTCCCCTGCTGCCCAGTGATACCACTCAGGGGTACAGGACTGTCAAAGCCAAGCTGGGCTGTAAAAAGGTTCGTCCATGGAAGTGGACGCCCTTCACAAATCCAGCCCGCAGGGACGGGGCCATATTCCACCACTGGAGACGTGTGGCGGAGGAGGGCAAGGATTACCCCTTCGCTCGCTTCAACAAGGTATCGTAGGTCTGACAGCCTACTCGTTCGATCTGGTGGTGCGAACCCAAAAAGCCCGCTTTCAATGCCGCCTTTAGAAAATAAAATAAAAATCTCAACTGTGCCTTTTTGACTGCGTAGACAGTGCAGGTGCCGGTGTACTCAGAGCAGGAGTATCAGATGTATCTCCATGACGACGGCTGGACCAAAGCAGAGACGGACCACCTGTTTGACCTGTGCAAGCGTTTCGACCTGCGCTTCGTGGTCGTCCACGACCGCTACGACTACCAGCAATACAGAGTAACGGCTCACGCCTGCTCCCCTTTATTTGGGCTCCCTTCTTAAAGACAATTTCAAATAAATGCCAATGTAAAGCACTTATTTCTAATAGTCTTCCTCCATTTGTGGTTTAAGAAACGCTCCGTGGAAGACCTGAAGGAAAGATACTACAGCATTTGTGGTAAGCTGGCCAAGGTCCGGGCAGCGACTGGCACAGAACCCAAGATCTACATCTTTGATGCCGCGCACGAGAGGCGTCGCAAAGAGCAGCTGGAGAAGCTCTTCAACCGCACGCCCGAACAAGTTAGCAACTTTTCCATTTCACGGCTGCTGTTTTCAGCTGCATTGCCAGGCCACTAAAAACGTTCACCAGGCCCCCGGAGATGAGCTGTGCACCTCTCTGGTTTTTCCTGCAGGTGGCAGAAGAGGAGTACCTTATCCAGGAGCTGAGGAAGATCGAGAACAGGAAGAAGGAGCGCGAGAAAAAGGCCCAGGATCTGCAGAAACTGATTAAAGCAGCCGACACCACGACAGAGTTGAGGCGAGCGGAAAAGAGGGTCTCCAAAAAGAAGCTCCCACAAAAGAGAGAGACGGAAAAACCGGTATGACTCACAAGCACACAAAAAGATGCACACGAAAGATGAACCATTGCTACCTCAGCAGAAAAATCTTAAATTACACCATTAAGAAATTCAACTCTGCACATTCAAGACATCTCATAAACAGAATTGAAAGCACTAAAACGTCTGGAGATTGAGCGTAATCATTTTCCAATATTTTGCCATAGAATCTGCCACCTAAATTTCCTGATAGTGATCTTTTTGTCTAAAGTTGTGAAACAATGTTATGAATCAGGTCTGTCTTGATCATCTCTTGTACTTTCCCTCCCTTGTAGGCTGTCCCGGAGACGGCTGGCATCAAATTCCCAGACTTTAAATCAGCGGGCGTCACACTCCGCAGTCAGAGGGTGAGTGCACAACAAAACAAACAAACAAGGTCTCATTTAGAGCTCGCCGCTCTGAAATAAAGCTCAGACCTCACAGGACACTAATGGGGAATAATCCTCTAGGTTCCCACCAAGAGTTATTTCCCAGCTCCGTTTTGTTGGAGCCATTATTAACATCAGAGTGATATAGTAAGATGCTGCTGTTGCTGTTTGAGTAAGCACAGATTCAGATTTTGGGCAACCTTTCTCTTATTATCAGCGGGGCGATTCATTCTGTGACTGACCAGCTAACATCTGTAAACCCAGCAAAGGGGACTCTTATTCATCTTTAAGACGGATGAGGAGCGGCTGCTCTCTATGGAAAGTGCATTAGCCCAGCTAAAGAAGTGGCGAGCAGCTCCAGCTAATCAGTCAGATAGAGCTCAGTGGATAAAGACATTTTGATCGGGCCCGCTGAAGTGCATTTCATACGAATTAACAGCCCCGAGGCGGAGCTGTTTATTCTGACATCGCCAGCACCTTAAATCACGACGCCGTGTGAGTGTATTCCCTGTCTGCGCGTGTGTGCTTTTCAGATGAAGCTGCCAAGCTCGGTTGGCCAGAAAAAGATCAAGGCCTTTGAGCAGATCCTGGTGGAGCAAGGAGTGGGTGAGTATGAATAAACATTAGCAATTTGCCACGATTGGAGATTTTATACATTTTCTGCTCTCCTCTACAGCAAAACTCGCTTTTAGTATTACAGGGAAAGGGCGGCTTCTTCACATTACAGCAGGAAAACACTCACAAGATTATTAAGATACTTCTGAAATGTTTAAAGTAGGCTTGTCCCGATCCGATATTTGGATCGGATCGGCCGCCGATATTTGGCCGATCCAGACTGCCAATCCATTTTTTTTAAAGTCAGATCTTAACCCACAGGTCTGTGTCCTAACCGTTAAGTTCTTTTAGGAGTAAATCCCTGTTCAACATGAGTCTGACAACTAAGTAAGTAGGCTAAATAACTTTAATACATGCTCTGATAGGCCGGGATCGGTATCATCCGGTGTCTGATCAGAAGTGAGAAAAGCTGGATCGGGACATCTTTAGTTTAAAGCACAGATTGAAGACTTGGCGGTTACATCCAGCCCAAAATCTTGCACATACTTTCCACATCTCGGTCGTAATGGCAGTTTCTGCCTTATATCGGGAATTTTGAGGCGTTAGGACACAGACGGTGCTCGTCTCGTTCTCACCGCCGCGTGTCTCCCCCCCCGTCTCCCCAGACCTCAACCCCATGCCCACCGAGGAAATCGTCCAGATGTTCAACGAGCTGCGCAGCGACCTGGTGCTGCTCTACGAGCTGAAGCAGGCCCACAGCAACTGCGAGTACGAGCAGCAGATGCTGCGCCACCGCTACGAGGCCCTGCTGAAGGCCGGGGGGGCCGGCGGCTGCGTGGGGGGGGTCCCGGGGACGGGGGCCTCCGCCGCCGCCGCTCTGGCCCCGGGCGGGGAGCCCAACGCCACCAACAGCACCGCCACCTCCACGCTGGACGCCCAGCCGTGGCCCGGGGCCGACGACATCAAGGTGGAGGCCAAGGAGCAGATCATCGACGTGGTGGGGGCGCCGCTCACCCCCAACTCGGTAGGTGTTCACCACCAAGAGGCAGAACTAGACTTTATTTACCTCACTTATAGTGTCCACATGAGGTGAGAGGGCTACAAGCTCAGGTCATCACAATTAAGGGTTAAAGCCAAGCAAAGCTTAGATTTGGGTTGTGTTTAAAAAACGAAAGTTTCAATTTCCAACGCATTGGAAGTCCGAGACATAAGAAAAAACCCCAGAAACTTCCTCTCTTGGTCAGTGCTAATAATCCTGATACCTGAGGGAGGGTGCTGTGACGTTCAGGATCTTGTATCGGTCAAGTTAAAGATGATCTGCCCTTAATTTGGAGCTGGTTTGTCTGAGCGTTTAGTGTTTTTGGGCTGGAAATGGAGACACCCCTGGTGTGGGGAGGGGTGAGGAGAGGGCAGGTGCCCCCACCAGCTCCTAACTGTCACCTGTGTTGCGTTTCAGCGCAAGCGGAGAGAGTCGGCCTCCAGCTCGTCCTCGGTGAAAAAGGTGAAGAAACCCTGGGGGGGGCGGCGGCCCCCCCCCCCCCCCCCCGAGGACCAGAGACCGCGTCGGCCATTCCCACGGCGGGACGCCCGGGATAGTTCCCCCACGGGAGAGCTCAGGGCTCAGCGGCGGCGGACTCGGCCGACCCCCTGCACACACACACACACACACACACACACCCAGAAACTTCTCACCCACTACCCAGACTTGTGCCCCCCCCCTCCGGCTGCGACAAAGGCAGCGACTGAGTGACATTTCATTCCATTACCGCCGGCCCGCCTGCCTCCACCACCGGTCGGCCTCAGATGAGCCAAGAGCAACTGTAAATTGCCCAGCTGAGCTAATCGGGCCACGGCCAAGAAGGCGGGAATGAGCGGGTAATTGAAATGAATTGGAATGAAAGAACAGAATCAGGGGAGTGGGAGAGCCCCCCCCCCCCCGGAGCCGCAGCGCCCATTTGAGCCATCCGAGTGTTTTTTTTTTCTTTTCTTTTTTTCTCCAGCCTAATCATACAATAGTGTTTACTGGAAATGTGTTTGGGTGCGAGCCCTCCCGGACCGGCTCCCTGTCCACCCGCAGTGCATTTCGCTCTCTGATGGAGTCCGCTCCCGTCTGGTTCCCATTCCCGACGCCGGACAGAATGGGCTGATAGATGTTGTTCCTCCTCAGGTGACCTTCAGCCAACGATTCAATAAATACCATTCGTTCTTTTTGTTGTGGCTCATTCTTCCTGTTGGTGTCAGTCCTGTTCACATTTTAGAGCTTTGTCATTCTTTGTCAGATGGAGGTGGGGCGGGGGGGTAAACGGTGTTGAATACACATTTGTTGGATAAACTGTAGGACCATGACATTCTTATCGTACCTGTCATCGATGTTAAGTGACAACTAATGACTTCATTAATATGATAATTAAGCACGGCCACAGAAACTTCATTAGGTTCCCCCTTCATAATGTTGCTAATTGCGTGTCAATTATGTCGTTTAGCCCACTTAGACATTAATTTCTATGCAAATTTTGAATATATTTGCCAGAAGAAGTGGGCACTGGGATTTTGGACCTCTTTTTTTCTAAATTTGTGGAAAATTCACTAACAATAATTTTCACACCACTGTGAAAGTAGTTCCCTTATGGAACTACTAAGACTTTAAAGATTAATTTAGAGAAATGTCTTTTCTCTCCAAATGAGAAGAGCAGAACTCAAAATTGAATGTGAATCTTGAGAGTACTGGACCAACATCCCTGTGTTCCATTTAGATATAGTGAGTCAAATATTGCCTCGTTTCCTTTTTAATTTTGTATTTTTTTTTCCCAGAGGGACAGAGTCTTAAGTTAAGTGATTAACTCCAAAGTCCTGTTAACATCCTCTTCATTTTTCAGAGGTAAAGCGTCCTGTTCATGAAAGGAAGTGAAAAACAGAGGAAAGGCAACAAACTACTTTTCTTTTTCTACCTTTTGCCTGTATTCCCTGTGGTAGTCCATTGTGAGTTTTATATAGGTTGAGGTTTATGCACTACCACTCAAAACATTCTCAGTTAATGTCTTTTTCCACAACTATTAACATTGCAGACTCTTTGCAATAACGTTCAGTTCTTAAAGGAATGATGGACCGTCATCTCTCTTCACTTGGTTGATTAATTCTTGACATCGTATCAATTCTAAAAGTTGTCGAACAGGGCTGGCAGCTTCACAATGCAACAGTCCAAACACATTAAGAAGGCAAGAAATTCCACTAACACGAACCCTGACAAGGTTCACCTGTGCGGTGAAAAGCATTTCAGCCCCCCCGTTTGACAGTGTGTACGGGGCTCATAAAAAACCAGGGGCTGAGATTTTGAAGATTTTAATATACTGTAGAGCGGGTTTGAGTTATTTTACTTTTTTTTTTTTTCTTTTATACAGTTTTGATGCATTCAGTGTGAGAATCCACAATGTCAATAGTCATTAAAAGGAATAAAAACCTTAAAAAGTGTGGGAACAAACTAACCACACACACACACACGCATATATATAACATATATATATTGCCCAAACAAGCTCTTTCAGCCCTGGTAAAATTTATTATCTTTAGGTTTCTTAAAATTCTCCCAATGCTTCCTTCTTTTACCCCTCACTATAAAATTGCACAAAATAATCAAATCTTACTTCTTAGGATGTGAAAAGAATCTGCGATTGGCTGATTTTCCTCCCTCCTAACTGCTGGTCACAGCTGAAGGATTAACCTGAGGTCCCCATCCTTTGCATGTCACTGGCTCTTTGATTACAAATTAATTGATGATATTAATTTTTTTCTGGTCCCTCTCCGACATCAGAAACCTGCCCGACACCCAGTAATGCCCCCGCTGAACGCCGCGTTATCCAGCGGCCGCAATCAGTCTGATCTTTATTTACAGCTCTAATAAGCACTGCTGAGGTTTACAGCAGTTAGGCCGTCCACACACTGTGGCCCGTTTGATTGAGAGAGGGGAAAAGAGTGAGAGACGGCGAGCAAACATGGGTAAAATGGATCCTCTGTGTCTATATTTCATGTTGAAAATTGGCTCATAAATCCCGCGGTTTGATCTATGGAACCCGTCGTTGCCTGAAAAAACCTCCGTAAATGTGTAATTTCTCCCTTGACAGAACACAGCCGAGAGGCTATCTTTCTTTTGCCTCCTCCTCCTCCCTTCCCATGCCCTTCTTCTCTGTCTCTCAGTCTCTCTCTCGCAGCCTGCCGTTGGATTAATACTCTCCACCCCTTCTCTCCTTTCATGCTACTCTGATGTCTTCTTTTCATCACTGCTCATCCATTTATCACCACCGGTTCTCCTCTTGCCTGAACCTCCCTCTGTCCGGAGCCATCCCCGGGTCTTATGGCAGGTATCATGTTAGATGGGCATAGAGAATGTGGAGGTTATTAATAAATACTAGTCTAAATAGAAAAATAGGTGGGCGGGGACGCATCAGCGGCCAAGCGTGAATGATAAAGACCCCCCCCAGGATCCCCAGGATCTCCGTCTGGGCTCCCGTGTGTGTTCTGATGTGAAAAGCATGAGGCAGAACACCACGGAGGAGCGTCTGATGATGTGGCGGAGATGGGATCTCTTTATCAAGGCCGCGCCGAGGCTTTAATCACGGCCTAAGAGGCGCGCCGGGGCCTTTTTGTCATAATCCAACCGCATCCGGGGCTAATCGACGGAATGCCTCACTGTCGAGGGGGTCGCCGGGCGAAAAAAAAAACCCGGCGCCGGTGATTGAACGCGCGGTTAAGAGAAAAGATGTGATCGAACCCCGTCGAGATACATCAGGCCTTGAGGTACCTGCAGATTAGATTAGATTCCAAACGCCTCCCGCCCATAGCGCAGGGCTTTATGGTCAGGATGTCACACGCAATCGCTGATTAGCACGATGTAAAGAGACAAGTAATGTGTAAAGATCCAAGGATGGGTTGGAGGGTTTGCTGCCAAATGTCCAAAACAGACTCCCCCCCCCCCCCCCCCCCACCACCACCACCTCACGCCTGCTCTCATCTCTGCATCTCTTTGACTTTCACCTTCTCCAGGATGTAGGTCACCTCCAGGGCAAAAACTTTTAATCATTGCTCCATATCAAATTCACCTGTGCCCCCCCCCCCCCCTGGGAGCCCCGAGCTGCAGCAGAGAGGAGCGAGGTAGCCCACAGGGCTGGACAGTGGATGTGGTTTCCACTGGGGAGGGGGTGGGGGGGGGGTGTTCTGCTGGTGGGAGAAGACCTGCCGCAACACAAACCCAATCACCGGTGCTAAGCAGTGCTTACAGCCACGCATTAACCCTCCGTCCACTCTCTCCGAGTACCAGTCCCGGGGAGGAGCGGAGTCCGGCGGTGAGTGGGACTGAAAGTGGGATTTTCCGTTTCCCCCCGAATGGTGAGGAGCTTCGGAACATCTTCAGGCAGATTCCGACTTTGGAATGACTGATCAGAGCTGGAGAGAGGCGTACAGGTCAAGTCATTTTAGGGGTTCTGGCCCCCTTCGAAGAGATGAAAATGTCACTTTGTGTTGCAGTTCCATAAGAATACCAACGTTTTGTTAGATGGGAGTACAGACACCACAGAGGACAGTTGTGTAAAGGACGTATCCATTTTAAAAATGTTAAACATCATATATATATATATATATATATATGATTATTTGTTTGTCTCCCAGTCTATTAAAGCTTTTGAGTTTAGACTAGTTTTCTGTATAGAAATATTTAGGGTGCTGGGACATGTTTGTCTTTTGAGGGCCGTGTGCAAAAAACGTTTGATCATGACAAAAGTCCCACGGCAGAAACATCTGCCTACACCTCTTCTGGCAGTTATCATGTGAATTTTACCATAATTTCCCTGTTGTGGAATCCATCCTCTGTTAGCAGATGTTGTTACACGTGTTTACAGGATTTGATGCATCTTAATTGAAAACTGAATAGTGAAATGTTCCCCGGGACATTGACTCTAACACAAATTCCAAATAATTGGGATCCCTGTGTGATGTAGAGAGGCATTTTATACCCCTCCCCATTCCTGGAATTCTGCACTCTTATTTTCAAGCTTATATTTGTTCATTGCTGTCAGAAAATGTTTAAATGAGTTAATATGCAAAGTGTCATATACAATCAATTTGTGAAATGTCCATCAATTTTTTGTGTTGGGATTAACTTTTATTCTAGCTAGTATTGCAACACTGTAGCTAACAGATCACATCAATCTCTGATAAATATACCGAAACAGCTGCTTGGAGTGAATTGGTTATCTCAATACTGTTTCTTTTCTGGTAAGACTAAAGATGTGAATCTGCTCTGGAGAGGAAGGCCCGTGTTAATCACTTCACAAGTGGTTTGAATGTGTTATCAAAAGAAAAATACTGAACTTAAATAAGGTTCCTTTGCAAGTTTTGAAGCAGACAGGCTTAAACAAGACTGGTGATAAAGGCACAATGCTCAAAGTGCATATGGCTTGTCCGAATTCGGGCGGTCAGGTTGTGTGACTCGAGATAGGCCATTTTGTTTTATTATCTATCATGGAGCCCATAATGAAGAGAAAGAGAGTGAACAGGGTGGGGAAAACGTGGTCCATTCAGGACAGGTCGGTGATTGCATGCTAACT